CACGCTAAAGCACCATCTTCTCTCTTGCCAATAAGCTGGGCTGCGCACGTAAGTTGGACGCTAGAAGGGGGGAGGGGTTAGGGGGGGCGAAGCCCCCCCCCCTCCAGCCGCACGTTGCAGCCTGGTGTGTGCGCCCAACTCGTGTATGAGCTTGTCGCCAACTAATTCACTATGAGGTACAAGCCGCACGCACGCAATGTCTTTGCTGACGTTTCCTTTGCGGATATTTACAGTTGAATACGTTATGATTGATTCGTTGCGAACCCTCTGATCTCAGCGATCCTTGTATCATTGCGTTACTTGTCATCGGGTTTGGTTCCATTTTGTAGTGTACGACACTCTAAGGCTGCGTGTATATTTACACGTGTCCTAACCAAAACGGGTGTCTTTGGACACCACCAATCTAAGGACTTCTACAACATCTACATGGTAGGAGGGTGGGCGCTGACACATTTAGCGGCACGTCCAGCAGGTGCTAGTGGGAGGCTTGCCTTGAAGGAAGCAGTAGTTGGAGGGGCGAGTGCATGCTGGACAAGTGATGGGTGCTTGGATTTGTGGTGCGGAGGTTTACAAATGGTGAGCAGCCTGATGGATCTGGCATTTAAATATTTGTCAGAACAGTTGCTTGGGGGATCCCATGAAGAGCTATTGGGTTCCAGAGGACCCTTGCCATGTGTCCCATAAGGCCCATAACCCACCTTCGTAACCCGCCTTAACATTCCCCTGTTGTGGAAATCCCTCCATCAGGTGTACAACTAGTTGCCCCTCACATCAAATTAGTGTAGAAATGTCCCCTACGAATGCACCGTGCACCAGTGTGCCATACCTAAACCTCAGCCGAACCCAAACCCACACCTCAGCTGAACCCAAACAAGAACGCTGCACAGAGATTGACCGGCATTCACAAGAGGCCTGGCATGCATGTCAACGGGCTAAAAGAATTGCGAGAGAGTTTGTGTGCCCATGATGCCTTGTGTGAGGTGCTGTGCGCCCTCCCACAAGGTTGCATTGTGCCTGTATGCATGAATACATGAATGCCACGAGCAATGAATGGATGGCGCAGCTATGGCCATGTTTCAGGCCGGTGCGTAAAACAACAGCATCGGGTTCCACATTCCCACGCGCATGTGCTCCTTAACATCCTCCCAGGTACGCAGTCGCATGACATTGGCATCGTTGTAGGCTGCCCACCACCCAGCTGGTCCCCTGGACGGCTGGGCCGTCACCACAGCAGTGTAGTGGGCACGGCTGTAGCAGAGGAGGCCCGTCAGCTGGTACGACCTGGTGCCTGGGTGGACACCCTCGGGTCCAAGGATTGTTGCCAGGTCAAGGTGCAGGCGAATGCCTTTAACAGCGGCGTCAATGTATGCGGGCGTATGCAGGTCTTCCGGCAGCCACTGTAGGTAAATAGGTAGGCACCTGGGGTGGCTGCGGAGGCGGGGCATGCCTCTCGCTCGCTGGCCGCAGCCATGCTGGGTGCAGCGCTGGTCGACCTCCATGCTGAGGCCCAGGGAGGTCTCCATGTCCAGGCCTGCAGAGGGGGAGGCAGTGGTGGGCAGGAGATGGGGCATCGTTGACAAGAAACGTGACACAGGAGAGCATGGGCTGGCAAGGCACTTGGAATGTATGCAGCCATGGGGCAAGCATTATAGGAGAAATGACAAGTAAGGGTGGGGGGAACATGTAATAAGCGAAACAGCGAGTCCCAAGGGCATATCTGAGCTCCTGCAGTGACGGCTGTTGGAGGCACTATACTAAAGACACCCATGGATACCCTGTTCTGGGATGGGTACTTGCCGTCTGCCAGGTGCTTCATATGCACCTTTAGTGGGGCCTTGTCCCAGTGTGGCTGCGGCTGGTCACGGAAGGTGTGGCCACAGGCATCGCAAGTGAGTACTGCGATGGAAAGGCGGCTCCACAGGCGATTGGCAGGCGTGCCCAGCTTGCGGCCCAGGTGCGTGGTGAGGTCCTCAAAGAGCTCCACGGCATCATGCTGGCCCCCATTGTTGTACCGGCCCGGAAAGTGGGAGAGGCGGCCCAAGGCAGCTCGCAAGCGCTGTCCCGGGACTGCAAGCCTGGGGTCCCATGTGGCAAACGGGCATGGCATGGCAGGGTAGGTTTGGTACCACCGTTCATTTCAAGCTGCTACGCATTTCAAGCAGTTGCAGCAGTCTACTATTTCCCCAACATATTGTGGACCACACCGAAGCAGGGTTGGGGCAGTTGTGAAGGATGCCTTGCCCTCACCTTGTGATGTTGTCGTACTCCTCGGCCACCAAGGCTTCCGAAGCGAACAATGAGGTAGCCTGCAGGTTGGCAAAGACCTTTTGGAGCTCCCTTCCAACAGCATCCTTGCGGAAGCGTCCCCGGCGGTCGTGCAAAAAGGCAACGATGTCCTGGTTGTTGAACATGCAGGCAACTGTGGCGTGCATGAAGCACGAGTTGGCACCTGCACATTGCATCGAGGTGGTGAGGACTACCGCAGTGAAATCTCCGGTCCTTCCGTAAAGTTCATGGGGCTGGCCAGACGCACTCACCAGTTGGGGAAACCATTCCGGCGCTGACAACAACGTCAGTCGGAGGTTCTGCGTTGGATTGTTTCGGAGTTATGACTTCCGGTTCCGGTGATGGCGACAGCGAGGTCGCCGTCTGGCCTGTTTTGCACCGGGTGAGCGCGTTAGAGTGGTGCACCAGTTGAGTAGGAGTGTTTGGGGGTGACGGCAAGCCGTGATGGTAACTTGCCTTGTTGGGCAGCTTCGATGGCGTCATGGTTCTCCGCGGTGGCTCCAAGCGGGCGAGGAGGCTGCCCCGTTACATTGCGTCTGTTTGGTGTTGCACTGTGCCAGTTGACTAACCAGACCGAAGCGATCTCATGGCCTGCCCAAATGGGTGTGCGGCGTGGAGGGCTGACGGTGCGGCGGGGTGGTTGAGTGAGGTTTCACAGCTGCTTACGTGGGTGTGGCTGACGAGGGGGGCTGACGAGGCTTCTTAGGAGAGTGGCGCATGGGTGTCCCGTTTGGGAGGGTCAGTTGGCAGCGTAGGGGCATATGAGGGTGGCGTTTACAGCGTCCAGCCTCAGGCGTGGCAATTGGCTCATTGCACCCGCAAGCCTGGCGTCTGCGGCCCTCAGGGGCAAGTCGTCTTGCTAATAAGGAGGGTCTCACTTGCAACCTTCTCTGAAATGCACTCATAACAAACAACGTACCTATACCGCTCTCCCAGCCAGGCGTTGGCACCTACGCATGCTCCATTTGCCCCAACGGCACGGATAACCGTTGTACGGCAGCACGAGCGCCTCCGCCAACGCTGCCGTTAGGTGAAGGCTCCGCATGTGGGTACTGCGCAACACCACGCGCACCCCCATTGGAGGTCAGCACAACAGAGCCGGGGGCTAACCGGCCGGCGGCGGCGGCAGATGACGCCGCTGCAGCAGCGGCAGCAGCAATAGCGGCACTGGCAGCCGCTGCAATCTCCTCTGCTGTGGCACCATGCTGCGCGAAGGCTGCCATGGACAGGCCGCTGCCGTGCTGCCCCTGCGCTAGGAGCCTCTGTGTTGTTGCGGGTTGCCCGCTGGCCCCTGTGGCAGCGCCGCTGCTGCCCATGCGACGCAACAGGAACTCTGCACTGAGGCTGCTGGCGGGCTGCAAGAGGGTGGGCGCGAAGACGGCACAAAAGGGGGCCCCCTGCGCTGCCGCCGCAGCAGTGGCTCGGCTGCCGCCATGGCCGCTGCTAGAGGCCGAGCCCCCAGGCCCGGCCGCAGGAAATGGATGGTTGGGGAGTCCCCCGGGCGTGGTGAAGCAGGCGTTGCCGTTAGCGGCGTAATGCAGGGCCGAGTCCGGGAGTTTGGGTTCGGTCGACGGTCGACGTCGGCCCGTGCTGCTGGATTGGCGAGGTAGGAGTGGGTTGTATGCGTATGGGCGCGGGGCTGCGGCTGCTGCTGCAGCGGCAGCAGCTGATATGGCCCCGACACGCGCGGAGGTGAAAGCGGCAGCGGGTGAACGGCCTGCTGTTGTGCCCTGGGAGGCTTGTTGGCGCTGACTCCGGCTATGGGAGTTGGCCGCGTCGGCAGGGCCTGAAGTGGGCTGTGTACGAGCTGATTGCCCAGAAGTCGCTGTGGCAGCTGAGCTGGGACCGACGGAGCCGGAGCGAAGGGCTAGCTGGCTTGGGAGTCGTTACGGCTCCACAGCTTCGTCCTTCGTGTAAGGATTGCCGTCGTTCAAGTTGTGATCATAGACGAAAGCCCTGATATATCCCAAGAACATCTAATTGTTCCTTCAGATGGACTCATACGATAACAAAGACTCAATACGGTGTTGAACCCCCTGCTGTGGGACCCACGGGCCCGGTCACGTGGGGCACACCAGTAAGCGCCCTCAGCATGCCAATCCTGCGCCCCTGTACCGCAAGCCAATGCCTAAACCCATCATCTGGACTGCTACCTCACGCTCAGCGTCGTGTCGGGCCTTTTACCATCTTTCATACATGCGCCACACAACAATGGTGAGAATGTAGCCATGCGGCGCGGCTGCCCTTAACCCCATAACCCATGCCTGTGGATAACACGTGCTCCCGTATAACCATTCCCAGTTTTTATGGAAACTCGGGCCGCAGGCTGCCTGTGCTACACCTCCCTTGTCCACACAGCTCCTGTTGGGAGCGCCTAAGACGTCGAGGCTGAAGGTGCTTCGCCCAATGTGGCAAGGTTTGGGGCATTGGGGGCATTGATTCCGCAATGGTTTCAAGCAAGGCAGACAGGCAAGGGAGCTGAATGAAGGTGTGTGGAGAGTTGCGCTACGCCGCTAACCAAGCACAGATTGTGCTCATAATCAGGAATGCAAGTCGCAATGTCATGAGAGATCGGAAAGTGGCAGCCTTGTGGAGGCACTGAAACGCGGACGGGTGCAATGGAAATCTCGTGTCCAGCATGGCTTCCTGTGCCGTGCAGTGCAAGCCGGCGGTTGGTAACGTGACCCCCGTTTTTACGCAATTGGGTACCGTATAAACGCACTGATGCCTTGAATTGGACTAATGTGGGCTGCTTTCCATGCAGTAATAATTAGGCGCCTTGGAGCTGGCGATGCTCTTAGCACTTCTATGCGCACGGTCGTGAACTTTTCTTCGGGGCTAGCATACATACCACCCAGGTTTCGTGGTGTTGCCTGTAACGCTAATAACTTTGCAATGGCAGCGGCCGTGGACCTTCGTGAGCAAAAGCAGCTGGCAAGGAAGCAAGTAAAGCTGGCGCTCCGCGAGCTGACGCCCAGCCAAATGATGGATGAAAGTGAGCTATCAGTTTATCAACACATGCCAGGAGTAATGTGCACACCTTTTACAGTCCTTGCGCACGACAGGCGCTCGCATTGGGTCGCGTATACTGGAGCTCAAGCCTTACCTTCAGGCTAAGACCCTAGGCATTTACCTTCACTGCGCAAAGCTCCGGGAAGTGGACACCACAGCCATCCTTGAAGATGCGCTGCAGCAAGGTACGGCCACGGCACGGCCGACTTTTTATGTTTGTTCGCCATAGAAGTATAGTTGCAGCAGATGCTGAATGTGCGAGCTGTAAAGTGTGGAATAGCGCTGTTTAGTCCGGCATCATTAGTGATGCAGTGACCCTCCCCTTTGGGCCGACCCAGATGTCCGAAGCAAAGTCACGGTTTTCTCCACAGCACCGCCATTTATCACAAGTACCCCAGCTAAGCTTTGCCTACCCGACTCGCAGGCAAGCGCATTTACGTGCCAGTCGTAGAGGACAAGCAAAGCAACATGAAGCTCCTGCATCTGGGTACGTCGTTACTTAGAAGCCCGTGCAAGGCTCGGTACGCGCTCGGCGCTGGGAGGACGGACATGCCAAAAGGGGGTTAAGCAGTGATAGCACGGGGAGCATCTTGTGCACGGGAAGTACGGGACGGCTGACAGTAGCAGGCGGATAGGGACACGGGGACGGATGGTTCATGGTTACGTGCTGGGCTTTGTGTCTTTGGGCGGGCCCCCCCGCTTTCCCCCACCTTCTTCACTCCGTAGTCGCGCAGCCCTCATTTCCGTCATTTGCTACTCGGCTTCCTGGATCCGCTAGCTGGCACCCACTTGCCAAGCGCCATGTATGTCTTATGTATGCCGCCTGTTCCTCCCACTCCTGCGCCACCTGTTACAATCCAGACTACAGCTGTCCACGTGTTTTCAACGTACAGCTGGTCCCAGCTTGCCGCCTCATCCGCCTCCCTTACATGCCCATGACTCCGCCCTCTGCGCCCCTTGAAACCTCCTCCTCGTCCTCCTCCTTGCACTCCCCCTCCCTCCGCAGACGACATGGGCTGCCTGCAGTGCGTTCCTCCCTTTGGCATCCTGGAGCCTGCTGCGAGCTACACGGACGGAACTCCCCGTGAAGACCGTAAGCCTCTGTTAACACCACATGCCGGAAGTGTTTGGCGGGCAGGTCACCTCTTGGGGCTTGCCGTATTTTCATGGCTGCCGTACCTAGCCTCTCCGACTCGGGATGTGCCTAGACGTGCTGTTGCTTTTCCTCTGTCCCTTTTCCCTCAACAACAGCCTAATTCGAGTAATGGTGTGCACATCAACCCTTCCCCTCCTGCTGCCTTCTTCTCGTCGTCCCTCCCTGCAAAGTGATGAACAGCGACATGCACCTGGAGGTGCTGCTGATGCCGGGACTGGGTTTCGACCAGGCTGGAAGGCGGCTGGGGAGAGGAGGCGGGTGCGTAGGGCTGGAAGGCGGGACGGGAGGGGTTCAGGAAGCTGTGCTGTGGTTGGGGTTGTTGCCACCACAAGTGGCTTGGCTTTCAGATGGGAGGGTGCGGTTGCGATACCATGCTTTTTTGCAACACCGTACTACCTATGACTATCTCTATAACCTCTTCTACCGGCATCTTGACCGACGCCATTTGTTTGCATGTGCTGCCCTCGCCCCCCGCCCGCATGCCCCCCTGGTCCGCGCCTTCGCTTGCATGGGTGTGTGTGGGGTGTAGGTACTATGACAAGATGGTTTCGGGGCTCCGGCGGCGGGCACTGGAGGCTGGCCGCGAGGCACCCTTGCTGGGTGAGACTGGGTAGAGGTTGATGGGGGTGATGGAGATGGCTGGTAGTGGTGGTATGTGATGGGGTTAAGCAAGGTGGGTTGGGGTGCGGTTGCATGGGAGTGAAATGAGTGGAATGGGACTGGTGCTGGGAGGCGAAGCGCCCCTGTAGCTGGGTGAGAGGGGTGGGGGAGGTGGCAGGAGTCCGGTGGGCATGGTGTTTGCTCTCTCCGCCCGCTGAGTCCAACCCCCAAACCCCTCTCTCCCCCCTTGTCCCTCTTGCTGGCACGGTAAACGGCATACTCCCGGCTCCCTTGGTTGCTGGGTAAAACAACGATCACGTTTTACCTTGCAACACACATATGCGTGATTATGTACAACAACTACGGACAACCAACACTCCTCAGTTGCTTTGTCGTACGAGGCGCAAATGCTGCCCGCCGTACCGGTGAGCGAGTACGACCAACAAATTGACGTGTTGGTGAGCGGCGCTGGCGGTGTGGTTGGCTGCTCTCAGCGCGGCTGCAAAGCCATCGCCACGGCCAACACGGCCTGACACCTACCCGGCCGCATCATCATCACCTAGCCTCTCGAGAGCCCATGTGGGCCTTCAGGTGGTTCTGGGGCGGTCCCTTGACCCCTCCGTTTGAACTGCCCTTCCAGTTGAGGCACCAGAACCAGTACCGGTAGCCATTCCCCTTTGACGTTTGACTTTGATGGATTGTGTGAGTTGGGACATCTGGGTGGGTGCAGAAGGGTGTTCAGAGCCGTGACGAGCGAGAGCGTTGAGAGCTGTGACTGGTGACGTGTGCGAGGTTTCCTTAAGAAACAGACGGCTTGTCGAGGAATGAACGGGGGTTGTGCAACAAACCTCCGCCGTTGGCAAGCGGCTTGTCATGGGGAGACGGCCTTGTACCTCATCACTGTGCTGCTGGGGTGACGTTGGCGTGCGGGGTGGGGGGTTAGGGCATACCGCTCAAGCTAAGAGGAGGTAGTGAGGGAAAGCGTTTGGGCGCCCGGCTTTCAACCAACTGGTCAGGACGCAATGATATGCTAGGGGTGACTTGGGGCTAATGACCGGTGACTAGAGGTTCTAAAGGTGTAGCAACTTGGGGATGTACAAGCGCCCTCCTGCTATGATTCTGGCACGGGCATGTGTGTGTTTGGGTGCGAATAGGAGGGTCCTCATGCCACTGCTGGTCGATGGTGATGACGTTTGGGGCCTGTCTGGGGCATCAAGTTTCGGGAGCAAGGGATTGCGTGTGGTGGTCTGTGAGAATGGACTGCAAGCGCGCCGGCATAAATGCTTTGCCGTCGCACGCTTTTGATCTTGCTGGCTGCGCCTAGCTTCCGTTTTACAGTGAACAGCAGTGTGCTCATTCCTTTGTTGGTCATCAGCGTCATATCCATGCATGCTGGCTCGCGCTTCGCTATCACACATCGGACGGTTACTAGGTTACCATCGGAATGGCATATGAGACTATGACGACATTAATCTTACTGCAATGAACTCAGAAAGCATAGGAGCGCGCATGGTTTTAGGCTCAGGGAAGTTAAAGAAAGTCTGTCGACGGGCAGTTGGCGATCCAGGACCACCCAACTACGTTTTCATACATAGTCTTAACGCACAATCCGCACCGCATCCGACGACTAACCAAGGGAACCTGCTAGGGCAAGCCATCCATTCTGTCGACTAACCAAGGGGAACCTGCTAGGGCAAGCCATCCATTCTGTCGTGCCAAACCCTAAAGGCTCGCCTGCAGAAGAAAGTGAAGCATCCCCTGAATTAAAACATCGAACATATGCCATATTTGGTTGCTTATCTTGCTTATAGACCTAGGCTAAGCTGGTACAATAGTGTTCGACAGCAGTGTTAGACAGCAGTCATGCGTGCGTCATCGCATTGGTAACGCACAGCTTCTTTGCAGCTTGGCTAAGTTGTGGACAAGGATGGTGGGCCGTAGGCTCTCTGTCGCTAGGTCGCAGCGCGCCAGCAAAGATACGACAATCAGAATTGCTCTTTATCCTTGAGTACCAGATTAAATTATCATATGCATGTGCATAGCAACTTGCGGCTTGTGCGGTGCTGCCAATGCACCTCGCCCACCTCCTTCGCCCTCCGCCGTACTCTCTTAGCTGGCGGGCGGCATCCTTCTTTATTATGGTCGCCTTCTCAAAAAGTCTTATCTCTCTACCTGCTACGTTTGTCCGCAATTATCTCGCAGGAAACAAGCTTGGCCAGTGTGGCCCCTGCCCGACAGACAGAACAGGACTGCCGTACGTTTGCTTCGATTCTATTCTCGAGACAGCATAAAAGGCTTCAAACTATAAGCCTCGCTATCACTAAACCCGACCGTACCGTCGCTGCTCTGAGCTCGCTGCCTGTTGCTGCACTCCAGAATACTTGCCAGAATGGCCCGCTCCTTCCGCCCGCTCCTGGCGGTGTTCCTGGCTGCCCTTGTGCTCAACATGGCCGTCGCTCAACAGGTAAGATCTATATGCAGTTTGTCGCGCGCTGTCTGCATCCTGTTTGGGCAGCATCACAATCATGCCAGCAAGGTCCGAGGCACCCCTACGCCAGGCATATATCGCCTAGCAAGCCTTGAGGCATTCGTTCATGTCATTGTCACTTTTTCACTGCCACCAATGCGAAGTTCGGCCGTCTTTTACGTTTGCCAACATCTACGCATGCTTTTACTTTAATGGGCTGCGCATTGTGTCTTGTCGACAAGCCATCATGTCGTCTTCGTCTTAGTGCGCTCGTACCATCCACTTCGATGCCGCCCTGTTGACATCCTTTCGCCACTATTCTGTCGCCTTGCGCTTCGCCTTGCGCTTCGCCAAGCTAAGCTGACAAGCCAACATATGTCCCAAACATTAACCCTATTCCTCTTGCTTGTTCGCAGAAGCCGCAGCTTGGTGGCAACCGCCGTCTGCTGGAGCAGCCCATCACCATCCTTCCCAACCCGTTTGGCACCTACCTTCGTCGGTGCGATGGAGCAATGTCGTCAGCGAAACAGTGGTTACCTTCAAACGCTTCACAATGAGCGACCGTACCTTTTTGACTTTGTTCCTTCCGCTGTTGATTCCGCACCATGCGTGCTGTAATACTGGGCCGCCCCATTTCCTGCAGCATGTCTGTGGCGAAGCTTCCTTCCCAGTAGCCACGATAGTTTGTAATGCTTTATTAAAAGCCTGCTCATCTTCAGTACTCCACCGACAGCGTTTTTTGGGTGGTGGCGGACCAGACTTCTCTTCTTCGTTAACAGCTGCCTCATTGGTGCCGCTACCATGCCCTAATTCTTTACCAATATTGCTTGTGTAAATGAAGGTCTGTAGTTGCGTCTTGGTAACATTGGCCAATCGCGAGTCGTTCCTCAAGCTTTCTGTTAAGTGCTTGACAGTAAGTCGTCCATTCTCTACAGCTAGACATTCTGCAGCTTGTTGCAACGCAAGCAGTTGGTCATCAGTAGGCATGTCGCATATACGTATATGGCAAGATGGTATACGGTATTATACGCATCGTATATGCGTAGTATACGCGTATGCATATATGGTTTCGCCTACCAGAAAACCCGTTTCTTGGCCGTTTTTTGCCAGAATTTCACCAAAGTAGATCTTTCCTTACATATTTAAGGTAGTTTCACGTTGCTTTATGTTCGATACCCCCTCCTGTGACCGGGTTTCGGGGTTTTGGGGCCTGGTAATGCATATTCCGGGGCGTATTTGACGCCCCCCGGCCCACAACATGCATAGTCTCTGTCGAATCCAGTTAATCTCTCAAGGCTGACCGTTAGACAAACGCTCGCGCACTGTTGCTGCAGAACGCCCCTAATACGCAGCAACAGGAAGGGCCCATGATCCAAGGCCGTGAACCCGTGATGGAAAACAAGCTGCACGTCCATTGTACGAAACGGTTATACGGCAATTAGGAAACAAAACATGCACGCTATTCACACTCTTCATGCTGTTCAGGCAGCAGGTACCTAGGTATACGCGTATGCCCAAACTATGTACAGCTGAATCAGGAAAACCCTACAACACCCCCAGCATGGCAAGCTAGCTAGTTCGTGCTCAGCAGGATCTCCTGGTCGACACCCTTGGCGCTGGTATCGCAGTTGCCCTTAATGTAAACCAGCTTATGGGCGCGGTTGATGTCGAGGTTGGCGCGGTCCTTGGTGTAGAGGCGCCCCCACAAGGACCAGTTCCGCTCAGCGGCACAGCTGGTGACGTGCAGCGACAGCAGGCGCACAGCGCACGCTGAAAGCAAGGGAAACGACGGGGCTGCCAGCACAGCCCAGAAGTTGCGCCGGGAAGTTGAGTCGGCCACGAGAACGGTCCCGTTCTCGTCCGTTTTCCGCTCGACAAACTTCGCCAGCATGCTGCTCATGGCGGTGGGTAGCTTGCTGATCTGCAGCTCTCCCAGCTCCCGCTCCACCGCAGCCTGAACGGCCGCACGCTGGTCAGCGGCAGTCCCAGCACCACTGCTGCTGGCTACGGCAGCGGCCACCGCTGATCCAGCCGGCGCTTGCAAGCTGATGCCGTACGCAAGCTTGGCCAGGAAGTCTGTCGCATCCTGCAGCTGCTTCTCCCCCATGCTGGTGAAAGGCGGGCGGATGCCAGCGCTAGGCACCTTCTCTGCGTTGATGCCGTCAAGCAGGTAGGCCGCGGACAAGGCAGGTGTGTAGTGCTTCTCAAAGCGGCGCTGGAAGGTCGCAACCACCCCCTTGCCCAGCTCCCGTGAAACGTCAAGCCGCTTAGTCCACTCCTCCGCGTGCCGGGTCAGGCTCTCCCAGACAGGCAGCAGCTGGCCCAGCAACGGTCGGTCCGCCTCCACCTGGTGAATTGCGTCGCACACGGGCTTGATGAGGTCGACCACCAGCTTGGCGCGCACCCACCACGTGCCTAAAGAGGGGCAACAGTGGGGAGTTAGCAAGAGTGATCAATAGCTTACTAAGACCCCATGGTTCGGTATGTAAGGCAGCAGCCAGGAACTACAGGCGAGAACAATTACAGTCCCGAGACATAGACTCACCCTTCGCCAGGTTGCCGAACAGCGACGAGTGCGTGCTGTTGTCGGCCAGGAAGTCCTCCCATTCCTCCGACATCACCATAGCCTGCAGCGCCGCCTTGCTCTTAAGAACGCTCTCCAGCACGAACAGGATGGACGCGAACCGGGTAGGCACGTGCGCCTCGATGGCGTAGGTGCGGTTCCCAGGCATCATCAACGCCTGAAGTTAGGGGGAACAACGGGGGAGGGGTGGACGTGAGCAGGGGACCACACGTGCTGGAAAGGTGGAAGTTGCAAGGAAGAGCGGAAAGACACCGACAGGTGTAAGGAAGAGGCCTAATTGAAATGGTAAAGCGCTGCCCTCACCTGGAAATGGTGCACCAGCGACCGGATGCGCTCAGAGTCGTTGATGGCGTTGGCAATGCTGTTGGCCGTGTTCAGCAAGTCCGCTACGGCCTTGGTGTTCTTCTCCTTGGCCAGGTCCTTAATCAGCAGCGACCAGGAGTGCGCAGCGCAGCCCAGCCCTATCCAGGTGGGGTGGCGCTCCTCCAGCTCGCGCAGGGCCGCCATGTTGGTGGCCTTGTTGTCTAGGCAGAACCCCAGCACCTGAGACGTGAAACGGACAAGGGCAGAAGGTTGCACAATCTTAGGAAAGATGGTTGTAAGAGTTGGGGGGAGCTGCTTTAGGGTGTGTAGCGGACCACAAGATATACGTCGCATCTGTAAGAACTGAAACCGCCTAGATGGGGGCAACAGGCAAGCCCAGCAAACGTTTTCCTCACCTTCTCAGCGCTACCGCAGACCTTCAGGGCCTCCTCCTCCAGCATGCTGGCCGTCCACTGGGCATCCTTGCGGACGCCAGCGCACCGCACAATGCCCACGAAGATGTTGCCGCCATCCGGCTTGAGCACCATGACGTTCATCAGGTGCTCCCCCTGGCCTGCAGCCTTCTTCTTCCACCCGTCAAGTGCTAGCTGCAGGCCAATGCCGAATTCCAGCAGCTCTTGCAGCTCCTCCGAAATCCGCCCCTTGACCTTGTTGTACGCGCGGTCAACGTACGTGGTGGAGAAGGAGGTGCGCTTGGGAAGCTTGATGCCGACGGTGGCGCACGCCTTCTGGAGCCAGTAGTTGTTGATACGGTTGAGGGCGGTCTCGGTGGTGTAGAAGAACATAGAGAGGTTCTCCACAAACTCCTCCTGCTGCCGATCGCTGGCCACAAAGCCAAGGATCGAGCGAGGCTGGCTGCCGCTGATATCCTCGCAGCTGGGTGTGGCGTAAGCGCTCGGCTGGCCGGGCTGAGCAGCACGGGGCGCAGAAGGGGTGGCTGTTGCCGCCGCTGAAGGCGCAGCAGCGAAGCTGGCCTTGCCGGGCTTAATGCACTTATGGTCCTTAGCCAAGCGTTAGAGCTTGGAGGGCTGGAAGAGGCCACGGCAGTCGCGGCAGCGGACAATCGCCATTGTTTGACCGCCAGGCTTCAGCAAGCCCAGCATCGGCTGGAAGCGCGGATGCCAAACAAGAGGCTTTCCGGAGTTGACCTGACGAACCAGGTCATTATGAACTTCCTGGGGAGTAAATTTCT